CCGATGAGAATTAGTTGCAGAAAATTAATGCCAGTTGAGCCCATTCTAAACACAACATGGCCAAATGCCTTTTCTGAAAAACAATAAAGCTGGGAGTAGATATTCATTCATAATGTTAAATTACACGGTTGCATGTGTGATGTCTGCTCTCAGCCACCACACACAGCCCTACATGCACTCACACACACACACAGGAGGCCATGTAATTCAAATGCATGTGTACAAACATGTCCCTCACTTCTCCCTCACCACTCCTGTTAAATAGGTCAAAATAAGGAAAGCACAAACACGAGAAAGCCCGTGAACAGCTGTGCATGCCAGATATTGAACAAGCACAAGGGTGTGGAGATAAAACACTAGTCTGCACTACCACAAAATCAAATGAAAATGCAAAGATATTACACTTAGGATTTCACAACTTATCATTTGATATTCCAGTCTAATAAAGTCATTTGTGTGTATGTGTGTGTGTATGGTTAGAGACATTTCTAGATACCCCAGATCATATTATCCCCATACATACCATATCTTTTACTCATCTGTATTTCAATTTATAGCAATACTCCTTCAACAAGAAAAACAATGTACACCACTGCTAGCATTAGTAAAGCATCTGTGAAAAATCTAGTAGCCTGTACATGAAAAAAAAACAATTTCTAACTAAAAAAGTTTCTGTTATTGTATTGCAAGGAAGATGAAAAATAATGCACTATCAGAGATACAAGAGCAACAACCAGTATCACTGGGTGTGGAGACAGATTGGTGAGAGAAGGCTAAGAAAAGCTGTGTATTGCATAGATTTATAAGGAATTTAAGGACTGGAATTTCAGTTTAGAAAATGGAAATTCTTAATTGCAGCAATTTGTGACAATTTTATGACCTCAGATGTAATATTATAACATTAGAACTGATGGAGAAATAATCACCATATTCAGAAATAGTTGAATTTTCTTAGCTTTTCATGCTTGCATATCAGTTGTGAGTACACCTTCCTAGCTACTCAGCATCCAAATATATTGGAAGTATACTACAGGAACACAAAGGGCAGATGCTGTGACTTAACACAGTATTGGATGTGGGGAAATAGGCTCCAAGTCTGAAGATGATTTCAAGGATTTTTGTGGGTAGAATACATGTACATGTATACCTCGATGTTAAAGTTCACTATCTGCTATTAATGAGACAGATTGTGTGTTAAATACACACTTTGATCAAACTGTGAAGACAATTTCAGGGTTTTTAACACACTTTATTAAAAGACATGTGAAAGTACAAATAAACTAATGCTTTAGAATTTAAAAATAGCAATTTAATTTCAGGGGGTTTGCCATTTTGGCATGGGACAGAAGGAGAGGGTGAGATAGCATTTAATGACAGAATTATTAGACAGATCTACAGTTAAGATACATAAATAATTCATCCCCACACCAGAAATATCTTTCTGAAAATCTCCTGCATGTCTTCCCTCTGTGAGGAACGTGTCCCACGCCTTATTTCAATGTTAATGGCAGTGAAGCCCAGAGAGAGGAGCCCAGAGTGCCACTGTGCAAGGGAAAAGTGCTTGCCCTATTCAAAATCGTTAGTGCTTGACGTGGTAAAGGCTTAATACCATGAAGAACAGTGAATGGCTTTCAGTCTTTAGTGCTGATAAACAAGTCCATTGTTTACTTTTGGAATTAAAGCTAACCCATTCCTGTTAATCCCAGATATGCGTCAATCCATTGCTATATATAAAGGAAGATGCTATGTCACTTAGGCCAACAGGAGAAAAAGACCAAAGAGCATTTAATCCATTTGGTCCTCAAAAGAAGTTCTTCGCTGGATAGGAAAATTAGTGAGCCTGCATAAGGAGCATTTCTGAGTTTTGTTCATTTTTTTTTTTTCTCTGAGACAAAGAACAGATCTGAAATTATTTATTACACTAGAGGTTTGTTTGGGATTGCTGAAAGCAAAGTGGTAAGTGCATGCTGGAGAGACAGGCCTCTTTTCATCTAGGTACAGATGAGGCCTGGAGAGCAGCACTTCATGCTTCGGGTCAGCTGTGTAAGACAACAAACCAGGTCTGCAGGCTGGCTGAAATGAAAAGTTGCAGTCTTTGGTTTGCCACAAGCCAGGGTTGGAGATTTACACATAGCACAGCATCCACAGTGAATGAGAGTGGTGATCAGATGATGCACTTGCCTCTCTGAAGGAAACACATTACTCTAATGCCTAAGAACTGAGCAAGAAAAAAAAAAATCATCTAGATCTATCTGCTGTAATCCAGTTAAAAAATTGAGTGGACATGAAATTTGTATAGCCTTGTTGGAAAGACACAAGAGAGATTGGAGATGTATAAAGCTAAATGAGTTCACCACTTGAAGATCAGAACTGCTGTTTAGCAAAACAATTCATTTTTAATCAATCCTTGGATTTTCCTGTGCCAGTGTCTCTGCTTCACCATTTCTCAAAGGAGTCCTAGAGCCTTCCCTCTCCTTGTCCCTCTGCTCCTGATTTATGCTCTAGAACACTCAGGTCAATACACATGCACAGACATTCTCCTTTTCCAAATACCACTGAATAAAATCTAGTTCTTTCTGGTCACCCTAACAGACTACTAAGTACCGTTCCTCACCCCACAAAAACTTTCCTTGTTTGTTTTCTGTGTGACACCCTAATCAGCTCTATCACATGATCCAAGTCTTTTGTTTAGGAGCTCCTGTTGCTGGGGAGGCTGGTTGGGATGCTGCTCTGTATCCGGGTTGCCATCTCTGTACACATGGGCTGCCACGTGAACTGGTGATCATCCCCCTTTGAATTTCTGTCCCTTCTTACCATCTAATGCAGAGAAGGCAAATGATACTCAGGGCTGAAAGGGGGGGCTGCAGCTTGCAGCAGCTGCACACAATAGAGATCCTAATAGAAATGATAGAAAAACACCATCATCTCTTCATTGCTACAGTACAACAATAGAGAGCAATTCAGTTTGGGGTGCATTAACAGAATGTGAATAGCACTGCTGCGGCACTCTGATGCACATGGTTCCTGCCTCAGCTACATCAGGGAAATGTTGTCATGCCCCTGCGAGGTGTTAGCTAATTTTATCAGTGCAAAGGAAGAGCTAATTGATATCAAGAGATGTATTTCAGGGTTATTGTCCCCAGAAAAATATATTAGAGGAAGAAGGTTATTTTTCAGTGTATTTATCAAGCATTATGAATCCGAAGACAAAACTAACCAACCTAACTGGATCCAGAACACAAAATCTGGATTTCAGAGGAACTGAAACTTTATGTTCTAAAAATCTGGGAAATTCTGAATTCTGGGCAAGTTTCTTTTCAGTTCTTTGATGTGGGGTTTTTACAGTAGCAGTAAAAAATTACCAGTTCTGTTATTTATATCTACAGTTCACTCTCAGCTGGGATAGGTGCTTTCAGACTAGGCTTGTTTCCTTCAGTTTCATATTCTGGGGATTTTCCTGAATTACCACCAGCATGTGTATTCAGAGGTGACTCCCACAAAGTCACTGCTTATTTTAAATTACTTGCTGTGCTCAAGACTGCAATTGGAACATCATACTCCTTCCATTCCTCTCTTACAAGTCATTAAGAAGGTCTTTCACTCAGCCCCATACACTAGCTCCTGTGCTGTAAATCTCATGTTCTGCTACCTCTTACATACTAGATTTCAAATTCAAAAGGCTCCTTTAATACACAGTTTGTATTCCATAACATTACAGGAAATGTTACTTTTATTTTCCATCTGGAGAGTATTTTCTATAGGATTGTTTGCAATTTTGTTTTCAGTTTGCACATAACAAGACATCATGACACCTCTGCCCTTCATAGTTCTCAGCAAGTGTTTTCGTGGAAATAAACATGATATCGTACAAGAAAAAGTCCTAGGAAAATGAGACAACAAAGGACAGCTGTGGCCTGGATGAAAAACTTCTTGTGAGGGAATTCCTCTTACAGCCTTAGGTCTCCCTTAACAGTCTTTGGACTACTGCCCACAACTGGACTCCCATGCTTTGTCTCTCTGCTGCCTCAACTCTAATCCTAGGGGTGGATTGAGTATTACTGAAGCTCTGGCCTAGTGAACAAGGGGTCAGTGGAAAATTCTTTTCATTGCCCAAATCTCATCTCTGCAGGCCCTTTACAGCCCCACCACAACTGGATGCCTTGGCTTTGCATCCCTCTTAACCCTGTTGATAAATCTACCCCAAGGAGTGATCAGATTTCTCAGGGAAGTATACCTTTGGTGCGCAAACTCTCTCTTGGAAGCCCCTTTTCAGTACTTCTTAACTGGATTAATAGGCTTTGTTATTCCCCTAAATCCAAAACTTTGAGTATGGCTGCAAAAGGTGGGCCTAGGGAAATTGGGTTTTTTTGCTTGCTTTGGCTGCAGCTGAGTTTGTCTGCTGTTAGTTTTGTGATATAGTTGATGTGGAGTTGCTAGAAGCTGCTACAGGTAAGTCTGAGCATCACAAATAATTTTCCCCTTTTCATTTTGTTGATGGGATGAGAGATCTTGAGTAATGGATTCAGTCACTTTCAGGGTTACAGCTAAGGCAAGTTGTGAGACAAAGCCTAAGAGTCCAGTTTGGGCAGGGACCTACAAAAGACATGCCTATGGAAATTTTGGGCAGAGAAAAGGCCAAGGCTGGAGGTCCTTATGTAAATCTCAGGTATTGGCTGCAGTTGGCATTAGGGTTAAGTTTAAGGTAAGGGGAAATACAAAGAATCAGGTCCCATTGTGGTCCCAAAGAGGTTGCCTATGTGAGAGCTGAGCAACAGGAAGAATTTCTGGGCCAGTCCTGAAGATCTTGTGCTAGATCTCATCCAACAGCAAGATTTAGCTTTTATATTATACATTTAAAAGTGAGAAGGTTTAAAATATTAAAATATTACTAAAAGACTTAGTGGATCTTAACAAAAATACATGAAACAAAGTAGTAGTAGTATATTTCTCCTATCTTCAGGAGAAATATAACATGTAACAACTTCTGTATGGTTATAAAACAAAAGTTAGGTGTAGAACATTCTGCTGGATTGAACTGGCTTGCATGGAGTGAAACAAGAGATGAAGCTGAGGAGCAGAATATTTGGTGGTGTAGCTGTGATAGCAGGGAGGAAAGGGAGAGAAGGACGCAGAGAAGGGCAGCGTGGAAGTGCAGAGCTGTTGCCTTAGGATGCACCAAATAATTCCAGCCACATTGCCTCTGATGGCATGTTAGGGGTGCCAGTCCAAGAACATCTCCCTGCTCCTCTTGACTCTGGTCCCACTTGCCATGCCTCTCTCACTTCTGGGCCATTGCAGCCTCCTAACCCAACAAAAAGGGAGAGTTGTTCTCTGCAGGTTAGAGAGTGAGACAGCGCAAGGGCAGAGTAAAACCAGCATGTCCCATGGAGGAGGGGACACAGTGAGGCCCAGGGTGCAGGAGGATGACTGCAGGCCAAGCTGCTCAGCACAGCAGCATGGGGGACCCGGGGTCCCAATCCAGCAAACTGCCTACTACTCTCACCATTTCTCTCTCTCCAGTCTGACAGCTGGAGAGATCACTGAATACTGGGTCTTTTTGGAGCTCTCTAGCAGAGCTGAGCTCTTCTTGGGCTGCACAGTGACTTCATAAGCCTCCATCTGAGAGAACACCCCAGAGCCTCAGCCAGAAGTAGTTGGAGCTATGGATGGAAAGAAGATGGCTGGAAAATGTGATTTTTGACCTGGCAAGGTCATGTTTGAGGAACATGACCTGTCTGTTATCTCTGTTTTCCTGGAGGAAAATAAGGTTTGCTCTTTCCCTTGAGGAAGCTGCCCCTTTCCCTTTTGCAGGGAGGGCAGTTCCTGTGGGTGAATGCTGCTGCAGGGGCCGTGCTGTCTCTGCCCTCAGTGGGGCCACCGTGGTGCACAGCTGTCCCTGGCCATGCCCCTGCTGCTCTGCACCTGCTGCCCAGCCCTGGCTCCCTCTCTGCAGGGAGCAGATTGTGTAGGAGGAAATGGGAGAAGAGGGGAATGAGGAGAACTATGAAAGCATGCCTGCCTGCCTCAGTTTTAACCTGGTGCAGAAGGTTAAACACAGGGGTAGACATTTGTTTTGGATCCAGTTATACAGACCTAGGCCAAAAGTGATGGTGAGACTCCCACATTGATAGACAGGGTGCCTCTTGAACTGTTCTCTGCCTCTCTTCACAGCTTCAGCACCTGATGATGTCAGCCTTGACCCCTTTCATTTGAAATTGTTTACAGGGAGAAATGATATTTGGACAGTATTTATACTTCTGTAAACTACCTCAGCAACTGGCAATAGTGGCCATAGGATGTGGACAACGAACCCACAAATAAATACTCCCTTGGGCAAATGTTACAAAACTCTGGGTTATGGCACTGCCGAGGCAACCTTATTGAATACAAAAATGTTAAAGGTGACTTAGAAAGCTTGCAGTTCTGGAACATCTGAGCTTGTAGTTATTTGTCACATAAACCATGAATAGGGACAAATGAACTTAAAGTCCTTTTGTTTCCTTTTCTTTTATATATAGCTTTTTCCACTGGAAGAACACACTTTGGGCTCCTAATCACTTCTCCAATATCACAGTGTCAGTTTTATTTAGCAAAGTGATACATATTTCAGCAACAAGACTTTGTGGACATATTTACATTTTATTTTTCTGTTTAACTAGGTGGGTTTTTAATTCCCAAGGGTTTCTTGATGGATGAAGATATTTTATTTGGAGACTAGTACTGATTGTTTGGATAAAAACCAACTAGCTCTGCTGGAATGCATTTTTAGACTTATCTCTTTGTTTTATTTGTTAACAGCTCTTATGCATTGTACTGATTCTGCTGTGCACTGAATCCTGTAGACAAAGACCACACTGCTATGCCACTGAAGAACTGTATCATAACACGAACATGCAAGGAAGGGATTGATTACAGCTTCAGAGGAAGTGATTGTTTTGACATTTCCTAGGTTCTCATTTCCTCTGTTTGCAATCTTGAATAAGTTCCCTGTTAACAGAGCTGGCTTAATACAATTTCATAAATTTTTCTTTTCTGATCAATTAAAAGAAGGAATAAACTGTACTGTATACAATAATCTCTTCTCAATGCATACAGCCTTCAGAGATACACTCATATTTTTCAACCCGAAAAACAGAGTCCTCCATCACTTCATCCATAGGACTAAATGTGTCACTGGGTATCCTGGCCTCAGGGTGAACTCTGCCTTTCCCTTCCTTCTGTGCACATCCTTGAGAGATGACAGGCAGAGCTTCCTTCACATCTTTAACTGTGGCAACCAGTGCTTTAGACTGGATCTCTGGGTGAATATATTACAACCTCTGATGAAATCTTCCCCTTTTTTTCTGCCTGACTGATGTGGCAGGGCCAGCTGTGCTTGCCACAAATCACAAATTTTCCTTTCGCCATCCCAGACAGCAGCAGACTAGCACATGGAGAAAATATGGAAACTGGAGCCATTCCTCTGCCACACCAAAAACTCCCCAGACTCACAGACCCTCCTCCCTGGCCTCCACATGCACCACTGACTTGCTGGGACCTACCCTGCTCACAAGCCAGATGGAATGGGCTCACTCTCTCAACAGAAATCCCACCAACTAATCAAACCCTGCTTCCACCAGTGAGCTAGGAATCTGCTGCACCTCCCCACATCACAGACCCTTTTCCCCTTTCAGAAAACACTGCCCATAGATGTGACCACAGGCTGCAGATTTAAACTCAGTTTCTTACAGGGAAACACATTAATAATTCTGACTCAGGCCATAGTGAGCGGAAACAAAAAAATGTGCAGGCTTAGTACTCCTCTTGACTTTGCAATTTCTCACTCCCCTTGGGGCAGCACAGTTGTGGACACACTGCTGTGTTTTGATCACCTGTACTGTATGAAGCTGCTGCCTCCCAAGCTCTACCTTTATCTCACTTTACTTCGGACTTTCTAAAGTACAGTGATAAATGCTTCAGCTTGATCCTTAGCCTAAGCAAATAGCCTATGCAGCTCTGCTTGGCACCTAGAATTAACATTCTCCCAGTCAATTGCTTGACCATTGTTTAACTTTTTTGACGTTAAACCCAAAGATGCCTTATCTCTGTGCCATTGTCTCACTTCCTCCTTGACAGTACTTGCAGTTCCCTTTGGTTCAAGATAATCTTGGCAGGCACAATTACATCCCAAAAGTGAAATGAGGCATACCATCCAAGCCACCTTCAGGAAACCAGATCAAGTTCCATGTTCAGTCAGCAAAGAGGGCAAGATGCCTTTGGAGGTCTGCTGAAGGTTATTTGGTTCATCTTATTGAGGCGTGTCTGGAGGAAAGCATTCACCAAATCATATGTGCCCTGGTAGGAAAGTGGCAAATACCTTATTTAGCTGCCTACTTCACTTCTGCAGAGGGACACTGAAAGTGCAGAGAAGGATGTGCTACTTACTCCTTACACCCATGCCAGTGTTTAGTTTCATGAACACCATGGTAAGGCAGTTTTTCCACACCTCTGTGTAAAGAGATTTTCATTTCTTCTTTTCATCTGAGCCACCATGAAGCCAGACAGGCAGGAGTCCTGCAGCCAGCTGAAAAATACACAAAAGTGATGTTAGTTTTATCCTAGTAACTATTCATCATAAAAAGACGTGGCCTGCCACCACTTCCTAAGGTGAGGTTTGTTATGCTGCTGAGAACACCTTGTCTCATTCAGGCTTCCTCTGGGGTCTGAGGAAGGCTTTGTGTGCCCATCCATATTTACAGAATCACAGAATCACAGAATAATGAGGTTGGAAGAGACCTCTACAATCATCAAGTCCAACCTATGCCCTAACACCTCAACTGTACTATAGCACCAAGTGCATATCCAGTCTTTTTTTAACACATCCAGAGATGGTGATTCTACCACCTCCCTGGGAAGAGCATTCCAGTACTTTATTATTCTTTTGGTGAAAAACTTTTTCCTAATATCCAACCTATACCTTCCCTGATGTAGCTTGAGACTGTGTTCTCTGGTTCTGTCACTTGCTGCCCGGTGGAAGAGACACCACCTGTCTACAATCTCCCTTCAGGGAGCTGTAGAGAGCAATAAGGTCACTTCTAAGCCTCCCCTTCTCCAGGCTAAACAACCCCAGCTCCTTCAAATGTTCCTTATAGGGCTTGTGTTCCCAGCCCCTCCTCTGGACACTGGGATCACAGCAGAGCACATGCAGGAAGATGACTTCATTTCACAGCATGTGGGGACAGGCACAATGAAGTGCCAAAGGAAAAAGGCAGACACCTGGCAGTGGGCTCCCTACAGGGATAGGCAGTTCAGTGGAGCAGGCAGGCTGGATTACTGTCTAGACCCTGGCTGGGCTGCAGGTCACCATGAATACAAAATTCAGACAGCATCACGCCAGTGTAATCCATAAAACATTGCAGATATCTTCATTGTCCTATGCATTTGGCAAAAAAAGGGAAGTTATTGTCTCAAACTATAGGAACAGACTGTTATAGCCGATGCTGAATCTTTTCAGCTGGGTTTCTGAGGGCAGAAAAATTATTTTCATAAGCTGGTCTGTTTCTAGTTATCTTCCTGAGGCTGTCAGCTTCCAGGCAGCTGTTGCTTCTGCTGCTTTTCCTTTGGTGGTATTTTTTAATCCAGCTATTTCACATGTTTATGTGCACTTCTTTTGTGCAAGATACTAACATTTTTCTGAAGAACATAAGTGTGAGACAAGAAACAGTGATTTCTAGCAGCTCATAGCTCTGCTAAACTTCTCTGGAATTGCATAGGAGCAAGAAAAGACACATCTCTAGCCCAAGGCCCTCTCCCTTCTGAATTCAAAGCCTGTCATAAACAATAAAAGCATTAAAACTTTTTCTAATGAAAAGGTGAGTCTTCATAACTTAGAGTATAAGGCAATATGTATATATATATATATATATATATATATATATATATATATATATTACCGCATATGCTCAGAGGTTATCAACGTTCCCTGCGAAGCTTCAGATTTAGAAAATTTATTACCTAAATGAATTCAACAAAGGTTTAGCAGGAAAGCAAGGAGTTACTAATTGGTCAGTAGTATTTTAGGAGCTAAATGGACTCCAAGAACAGTCAGAGATCACTACGGTATTGCAGGCAGATCTAAAAATAAACCATTAGGTCACAAATACAAAATTGCTGAGAGCCAATAGCCTGAGGTAGGCAGGAGGATGCAGAACACCAACCACTGCACATGAAGCACACTAATAGCTGCAGAGAAGCTGTCCAATAAAATAGACCCGTGACTCAGGGTCCAGCAGATTTAATCTGACACCATTCCAGGGATATCAGCATATGACTTCAAACACTGCATTAAGAGATAGAAAGCTTAATGGCTGCTTTCTAGTTTAGTACAATGCCTGGCGATAATACTCCTGAATTTAAAACTCATAAAATATCTGTCGCCTCCAGCAGCAATATCTCAGTGCTTTACTGAGATCAAATCCTTTACTGAAGTGTGTCAAATAGGTCAGAGGCAGATGACAGTACATGAGAAGGGGCACTGCCTCCATGAAAGCATTTATAAGAAACAGAATATATAAGGCCAGAGGAGATATATTGAAGCACAGATATTCATGACTCTAAAAGACATTTTCAAGCCTCCTAAACCTCTGGTCATATATTCTATCCAATACTTTCAGAAACTAAAGTGAAAACCAGACTAGCAAACATAGGTAGATGAGGAAAGCTGAATAAAGCTACCAAGCATATCTGAGGAAATGGAATGCCACTGATTTGGACCTACTGCCTTTTTTCAGTGAAATGGTCAGGCAGTGAAGAGGCCCTCACTGGCCAGCTCCTGGGAACTGGCTCTTTTGAGCAGGACATTGTCCTAGTAGAGTAAGCTATCTCATTGCACATCCAGATCTCTTTTACTTTCAGGTGATGGTGCTATGCAGCAGCAAACAAGCAATTCAAGTAACACTATTCCTTAACCTTGGACACAAAACCTTTCTGTAAAAAAAGGCTGAGACTATAAACCTTTGGAGCCTGAGCTCCAGCTAGAAATTAATTTTCCTTTACTTCCCATCTTTGTATGAAAACTACTTAGGATTTGAATATTTACAACAGTAATGTCCTTTGAAGTTCAGCACTTAAAGGCATTAAGTTATGAAAAATGGTTACCCTGAAAACATGAGAACAATGGACCTTACTTATTCATTATGTATGTTTTGTCTAATAACTGTGGGATAAACCTCACCCAGCTGTGTTTGACTGAGATCAAATGTAATAAAAAACTGATCATAAATACTGAATTGCTATAGAAGAATCTGAGCTGAAGTTTTGCTTGCATGAATAAACTGAAATCAAGACTACACTTTACACTACACTTGTAGAATTTGGAAGTAGATAGTTGAGAGATCCATGAAGATTAATCTGTTATAATTCAACAATCTTTTATACTTTTAAACAAGGCTCTACAAAACAAGGTCACAAAGGACATTCCTCATTGTTCATTAAAGCTGCTATTTCCTTGTATATGGCACTGCAGGGTGGAGTACAACTATTTTCTGCAAACCAACTGAGCAAGCTATCAGAATACAATAAAATTCAAATGTGTATTCTGATCAGATCCTTCCCTAAGAGCAAAATATTTTCATTTCTACTTCACTATGTCAGATAATTTAATTCCAAGGAAAAAGTTTTACTACTCAGTATTCACTATGGATTTTGTCTCTGAGTAGTCAGCTATTCTGCCATTTTTATACTGTATTCCATATTGAAGTGCTGGCATATGCAGCCAGTTTTTGTTCCACCCTGAGCTACATGTGACATGATGCCAGCTCACCTCTAGGTGAGCAGGCCATTCTAGATTTAGGGCTATGTTATAGGCCACAGCAGCAATAGGTTTAGGCCAAAGGAAAACAGGAGATTTCTTAGGGTAGCAACCTTCCTTCATTTGCCTTTCCAGACAGAAGACTGACTGCTCTGGAAACTCTCACTGGCACTCTCCAGCCTGCTGCTCCTGAGGGACAGGTGGAAACAGAGTTCACTTACAGCAGATCATTGGTTTCCTTTTCCTCCCTGGACACATCCCAAGCCCAGACTACTGGAAATATGTAGATAATTTTCAGATATTTTCAGGTCTCTTACTTCGCTGTAGCTTCCCTAGAGCAGCTCCCTTGACCTCTGCTGTTTTTCCCAGTTCTTGTTCCACTAACTGCCCTCTCAGCCTGAGCTGGTCACCCCAGGCACAGGAAGAAGGAGAGAGCAAAATTCATTCCAATCTGCTGAGAAAATTTAGGATAGCCTTGGCTAGACTGACCCCAGGTGATATGGTCTGTAAATGCAATCTGGACATTTTCTACCCCAACAGTCACATAAATTCTGTAAACACAGAAAATTCTGAATGCTGTTGCTTAAACTTACACCTATCATAATATAAACTGAATTAATTTAATTATGATGCTCTTAAGTACAGAGATGCTTCAGCATATATTTCCCACCTCGACATGCCACGAGTGATGGCAGCACAGAAGCAGCAGTTAGTGGGTTATAACCTTACTCATTAGGGTCTGTGGGCCAGGGCATGCTCCTGAAAGCATGGAGTGAGATATGTCTTATTTGAAAGAACGCGTGGAAAATAATTGCATAGATTCATGAAACTTCCAAGAAACCAATTTAATCCTCTTCTGTATTATTTTTATGAAAAATTTAGTGATAGAATGATTTAAGACATTCTTCAATCCCTTTGTCTAAATTTTCCCTACAGTTTAATATTTAGTAACTTGTCCTGCTTCATTCTACATCTTCTTGCATCTTAAGCAATGAAGTTGCTACCACTTCCCTTAGAGAAATATTCCATAACTTGCAATTTCACACTTGTCAGGAAATTTTCTCACACCAGCTTGCATGCTTCCTGTATTAATTTTTTCCAGTTCTGCTATCAATATCCTCATCTACTACTTTTAGCAAGAGCAGCAATGAAAATTGCTGTTACTACCCTTGTACTATTCCAATAGCTGTGGGATGCACCAGTACTGGTGCAATCTAACAAAGATCCCTGCCCTAAAGAAGCAAAGCACATGAATAAAACACATTATGGCAATCTCATGAGAATTCATTACACATGAAACATTTCCTTTCTATGTGCAGTGACACATAGATATAGCCAATGTTTGCATTTTGAAGTGCAGAAGAAGTGGGCCTTTTGGGTTTGACTGGAACTGGTGGGCCAACATCTTTGTGTAATGTGTGAAAACTTAACTGAGAAAATCACTTTACCAAAACACAGCATGGCTGTTAATTGTAAGGCAACAGTTGTAGCTGGACTTGGGTGAATTCAGCACCATCCACAACATCCATAAAAGGTAAGGCATTTCAAATGGTCAAAACTGAGCAATATATTTCCATGAAGTTTACTGTGTTTAAGTTCTGAATTTTAAAAATGAGAATTTTGAATTTTCTTTAAAGATAATGTTATAGAAAACTTGTCACATGTAATTGGAACATTTGCTAAAGCCATAACCTTTTGTTCTGTCATAATATTTGGTTTTTTCCTTGTTGTAATGTTATGATTCATAATGTTATGTACTGGTTTTAAAGTGTTAT